AAAAAATCAAGAATATTTTGTTTTCCACTGCTACATTTTGCTGTCTTCTTTTGCACATAATCAGGGTTATCCAACTCCTACTTGCAGCTGGTACATGCTTTACATGTTGGTGAACTAACTTATCCAAAAAAAAATTATCAGCTTTTCAAAGGATGGCGATGATTTGGAAATCAAGCTAATTGGTTCAAAGGTAAAACAATTTATTGACAATATTACACACTCTAACTTCTGTTCATTTACTTGCATGAAAATGTTGGAACTATCCTTTGTACATGACCTAAATAGTGAAATTGTTATAGTTACCGCATTCTCTGATGGTGATCATTTCGAAATAGAGTAATTGATTCTAAGTAGATAAATTCCATGTACCGACTTTTATTCATCTTCATGCTGTAGGTGATGTCTGAACTGAGATTTTGTTTCCCTATACAGGACATGGAAAGTGAAATTGTTCCTGATGGGCCAAATTCTGGTTTGCAATTCTCTTCTCATGGTACCATGCAGACAATTCCACTTTGTGATACTGTAAGAATTTTAGGTCATCATGTTCCCTTCAGTATCTTATTTCATTTCCAGAGGCTTCTAAATTATACTTAGTTTAGTCCATTCCAAAAGGGGAAGAAAAGAATTACATTTTCTCCTATACCTCAGACTCCTACCAGAAAACTACATTTATGTTTTAACCTGGCTGCCAAATATTCTTTCTTCAAAGCCGATACTAAATAACATACGTATTGTCTGCTGGTGAATCTTCTTCAAATATAGAAATGAAGATACGTTGTTGGAACAAATAGGTTTAATTGCTAAGCAGATGAGATTTTTCTTCTAATGGTGTGTTTCTATAACTTGGATTGATGAGCATTTGGTCACCTATAAAGTAATAGAAGAGTATTTATAGATATCAATTTGTGCATATAATGTCATTTTTGGTAAGTATTTATTTCACTAAAAAAAGATTATTCTAATAGGTTTTTACTTTATATAATAGGATGTAGTCTCATGTTAATGTATTTCTGACGGTTCCCTTTGTATTTGCTTGCATTTGCCTACTATTAAACAGTGATTCCGTAACTCCGAGATAGAGTTATTCCCTTAGGCTTGCTGGTTTTGGAAGCCTGCTTTTCCTGAGCCTCTTATCTGAACTATGCTTTCCACATGTAAGCCTCAGCACATCAGTGTATTGGCGTCCATGTTGGATTCAACATTCTTGAAATTTATGTAGGATTGCTAGTGACCGATATAGGAGATTTGCTCATTTTGAATCTTTATTCATGTTTTGCACATAATATATCAACTAGAGGTGGCCCAAGAGGCAGACAAATTCAAGAAGACAGTGTTTGTTAGAATTAAATATATCATGTGTCAAAAAATATGCAATTAAATTGAAGTAAAGTTCAAATAGAATTCTTCATTGTTAACATTGAGGTATTCTTTTTGAATTCTCTCTGTTAGTACTGCTCTATATAGTTGATTGACTGGTAAGTGAAATTTTAAATATGTTCACACTGTTCTCATTTTTTTAGTCTTAAAACATATATTGTATCTCATTTTTGTACTATTCCAAGGGATTGAATTGAGTTCGTGTGTTGATGTCTACATGGTATCATGCCTCCAAATGTTAAGAGTACATTCATTTTGGTCTAATTTTTAAACCAAGGTAATACTTAAGTTTCATTGCTATAAGTTAATTCAATTTACACATGGTATTGTATATTTCTAGCTTCTTCTATTAAATTGTGCTCAAATGCCCACACCACACAGTTGCGTTAAAGCCAAAGACATAGTCGTCCCATCTTCATGGATTCCTTAGTACATGTATCTCCAAGAATTCTTAGTCGAATATTTTGTTCTTATGTTAAACGGCTTTTGTCCATTTGTTTTGTTTCTTGTCTTTTGTAAGAGTCAATTTTCGCTTACTCTTCAAATCTTTTTCGTATTTTCACTTTTTAGATTAAAAATT